ATTCCTTCTGCCACACTTTGGAATTATGTAATACTTGGGTCAAAGTACCAAACAGATTTCATCTCATTACATTGGCCTCCTAGCTAATTGTATACCCTGATATATTGCTGTTCTGTTTTAGGCAATCAGTTCCCTTTTATTTTATTTATCATAAGGATCTTTCTTTTCATAGTTAACAAAAATAATGCTTATTGACATTTATTGTTTATCTCCTGTGTGCTTAGAATGAGCTTTGAACATGGTATTCACTCTGTTCTTAACCCCTAAACCTTAGGACTGACTGAACTTTGGGGATTACCTCCCTTTAATCATGTTTACTAGAATACAATGATAAGCTCATATTTTAGGGAGAATGATTATCAGAACCAATGGCTTTTCTGGGATATTATGTAAGTTACTTTTTTAAAAGATGATTTATATATATATAGTATATTTAACTATGTTTGAAAGCATAAGTTATATGAAATCTCTTATGAAATAATTTTTATATTTCTGTATATATTGGTGCTTCTAATACATTGAATTAGGATGAAAATGTTGTGTGTTGTACCATGATTTAAATTATGTAATTTTCATCTAGGGTTAAGTTTGGAGCAAGTTGACATTTTATGGCATTGTTTAGTAGAAGACTCTGAGTGTTACGATGATGCACTCCATTGGTTTTTAAATCAAGTTCGAAGTAAAGATCAACATGCTATGGGAATGGAAACCTACAAACATCTTTTCCTGGAGAAGGTAATTTTATTTCTTGACAGCTTTATTGTTTATGTCATTTTTCTATGTATCCTTTTTCTCTCTTGAAATACAAATTCTAATACTCACTTTTTCTTCTTTTGACATACTTAAAAAAAAAAGGACTGCTTTTCAGCAGTCCTTACGTAATTTTTGCCATTTAGATTAGCTTTAATTTTGTCCTCTACAGTGTTTATATCTAAATGAATGCTTAGTTTATATTTAAAAAATCTTTCTTAACTAAAGTACTTAAACTAACAGTAATAAAATAACTCTTCAGGTATACACTAATAAGAAATGTGGGGGGGGTTGGTGTGTATTTTTAAAATCATTGATACCATTATAGTTCAGGTTTTCAGGGGTGGTGCCCACACCTGCTCGGGTGAAAGCTATAGAATATATTGACTCTTCTTAGTTAAACGGTTGTGGTTTTTATTCTGTCTTCGGGCATATAGAAGCCAATCTTTAGATTTATAGATTCCTTGGAAGGCATTTTTAGGTAGTGCTATCATGATATTAAGGATACTGTTCTATCAATTTTTTTGTTTTTATCAGATGCCAAAAGTGATTCAGGTGATAATTTTCCATTTGAATTTTAAAACATTGATGATAATAAAGCAATAGACTTTATTATTTCTGTGCTGGTTTTTGAGATTATAAAGGCTCTTTGTGAACACTCATCTCTGTGGTAGAATTGAGTACATATGAATGAATTTTGGTAATATAAACTAACTCAATAAATCCAAGACAAATCTACAAATAGACCTTCAGGTATCTTAATTTCAAGCTCTAACTTACACACAAGCTGTACATGTAGCTGTATATCTTACAAATGTGTCTGTTGTAGGTATACACTAAATGATAAACATTTTTGGTTAATTTCCTCTGATTTGGGCCTATGTATCTATGTACATCTCAAAAATTGAAACACGTATTAGATGGGTTTCAGTCACTATGTGAATAAAATTTTCATTAAATTTAATCTGTTTTTAAATTATCACTAAAAACCTGAGCTGATACATTGTCTTCAATATTTTTAGTAAAGTTTGTTAACTACTTAAATCTGTTATGTTAAACCCAATAAAATGAAATCTGTTAAATTAATTTTCACACTGAACTATCTTTAAAAAATTTTTTTAAAGATGCCCCAGCTAAAGCCTGAAACGATTAGCATGACTGGCTTAAACCTGTTTCAGCATCTCTGTAACTTGGCTCGATTAGCTACCAGTGCCTATGATGGTGGTTCAAACTCTGAGGTATGGATTTAGACTTGTCACTTTATTAAATCAACTTGTGGAATTTTTTTTTTTATTCCTCAAAGTAGCTTAGTGAATTATATAGTCTACCAAGCATTGAATTTACTAACTGTGCAGACTTTTATTCTAAGGTTTCAAAAAGCTTATTTTGGTTTTAAAAAGTTTTATAAAGCAAAGTTGATTTTTCATTACTAAAGATAACCTTGGTTGTACTTAATGAAAACTTGTGGTACAAACTTTCAGCTATAAAATAAATGTCATGAACATATGATGTACGCATAGATAATACAGTCAATAATACTGTAACAACTTTGTATGGTGACAGATGGTAATTGATCTTACTGCAGTGATCATTTCAATGTATAAAAATGTTGAATCACTGTGCTGTACACCTGAAACTAATATAATATTGTATGCTAATTGTAACTCAATTAAAATAACTTATTGCACATTCCTTGACTAATAGAGAAGAATTTTGCCAAGTAGAAGGTTGATTTGTCTAAAATCTGATTTTCATGTCATTCATCGTGGCCAAGCTTTTAGTTGCTCTTGGGCAACTCCAGCGTTCCTGTTGCAGACTTCAGTTTTGGAACAGAATCTACCTAAATCGTCTCTGACCATGAGGCATGATGATCAGTTAATTAACTGAAGACTGTCACAAATGGCTGGTCTTCTCTGGCTTAGAGTTCCATTTGCCTAGTTGGGTGGCTGTGAGGTTTTCTTCGAATGCATTATGCTTAGACCCTCCTAACACAGACTGTTACTTGAAAATCTTCCTTACTGGACATTCCAGTTTATTAATGATAGCTTTGATTTATGTCGTATCCACTCATATTTTTCGTTAATTTTCTTTGAAGATTGAGTTGTGTTATAAAGAGAGAGAAGCAGAGAAAGCTGATGTTAATCTGTGTTGTAAAGAATAATTTTAATTGTTTTTAGAATGCTTTTGTGGTATTTTCCTGCCTTCTTTTCCTTGTTTGAATAATGTTTGTTTTGTTTGGTTTGGTTAGTTGTTTTTATTTTTAAGTTTTTGGTCCTAACTGTGATAGCACTCTAAGTTTCAATTTGATGATTTCAGACAACTAGACAGATCTGATTTACCTAAGTAGTCATACTCTAATTTTGAGGTAATACTGCTTTTTAAGTAGATGATATGAACACTAAAGCTGTTCCGTCGTCTATCAGGTTATTTTTCTTCACTCTGCTCAACCTTTGAGAACTTTCCATTTCTACTTTTTTGGTACTTTTCAGTGAGAATACTCTTCATCTCATGGTTGATGTAAATTTAAGTGACAACTTGGGTTAGCATATCTTTTTGATTTCCTGTGAATAACTGAAAGGAATGACTATATTAGAATAAGTTGGATGAAAGCATTGACATTGTTATGCTAATAATTGTGTGTGTTGTTACTCCTTTGTAGCATATTTTGAAGATTTGAGGTTTTCCCACTATGTAGTCAGAACTTTTGAGTTAAACGTTACACACATACATAGTTAGATGCTTTATAAATAAGTTACCTTTAGAACCAATACAGGTATGTTTCAGTAATTGAGGAAATTTCCAAGGCTTTTATCCTTATTATTGTTAAACAATTAGCTAAGAACACTAAATAATTAGGAATTGTCTTTTAAATACTTTATAGGATATTAAAACTCTTTGATATTGTATGCCTTTTAAATTTGTTACTTCAGTCATATAATAATTACATTGTTTGACAAATAATAACATACATTTCCTGTTTTTCTTTCTTAGCTGTGTGGTATGGACCAATTTTGGGGCATTGCTTTAAGAGCACAATCTGGTGATGTCAGTCGAGCAGCTATCCAGTATATTAACTCCTATTATATTAATGGTGAGTGATTTGAAATATTGTTGAATAGGTAATTTTTTATGTAAGTATTTTTTGTTTAGCTATAATTCATTTTCTTTAATACAGCTAAACAAGGATATAAGATTGACGTACATGTCTAAACATGTGATTTTCAGGTAAAACGGGTTTGGAGAAGGAGCAAGAATTTATTAGTAAGTGTATGGAGAGTCTTATGATAGCTTCTAGCAGTCTTGAACAGGAATCACACTCAAGTCTCACTGTTATAGAAAGAGGACTCCTTATGCTGAAGACACATCTGGAAGCATTTAGGAGAAGGTAATTTTTTTTAATTCCACATTATCAGAATGAATTTCAGGCTTTCTTATTGCTGATATGTCCAAAAGTATTCTTAAAATTGAAGTTTTTCTTGGGGGCAGGTAGAAAGCATAACTTACAAAAGTGAAGGGTTAGTTACAGAAGTAATTTTTATTCATTATATGTTCCATTTCGCCGTTGAATAGGCAATGTAGGTTCCTGGTAAATATTGCAAAATTTTAAAAATCATAAGACTCTGAGAAGATATGCATGAATAAGACTCTGTAGACAGAATTTCATCTCTAAGAAAGTATTACTATGATTGAAATGGCAGACCAACACTACCAGAAAAAGTTTCACTAAAACCCTCAACAAGAACATCGAATAATCTCTCATAGTTGAATCAAGTTGAGTCATTTGTTTCATTTGCTGTTTTTTTTCTTCCTGGACTAGGAGACAGTATTTTAATTTTGAATTTCCATTTACCATGGAAACATGATCAAAAAATTCTGTGTTAATGAATATCTATATAATTAATTTAGACATACCCTGTGTAATACAGAAATAAAGCAAATTAACATTTATGAATATATCGACTGAATTGAAAGGTGAGTAGATAGTTTTAATTAAGAAATTCTGTTTGTTAAAAATCATGAGTAAATGTAAAAGTACAAAGAACTGTGTTAAAAAATTGTTAAAATTAATAACTTCTTTCAACTTCAGAGCTTAGTTTGATAATGAAAAACTTATACGATTGATATATATTGGCATTTTCTTAAAATACTAGGAAATACTGAATAATAGTTTTTCCACACATAACATGACTCCATGATTTAAAACATTTAGGCGTTACAAAATTCTTTATTTTGATTCTGATTGTAATTTATGGAAATTCTACTTTAAAAATTCCTTGTGTTTTTAAAGAATGTGTAAGGGAACTAAAAGTTTTTTGTGCAGAAACTTCACACTGCCTCGTAACCTTTATCACTTTAAAAAAATAAAAATAAAAAAGCAAATGTGATATGTCTTACTCAAATTAATACAAAATTATTACATACTCATTATAAAATTCAGATATTGTGCTAAAATAATACTGTAGAAAATCAGTCTTTATAATCCATCTTTTCCTATCAGATATATTTACTGTTAATGATATGATAGGTATTTTTCTAAAATTTTCTCTATGCTGTGGGGTCTACAAACTACAAACCAAAGATCCTGTTGGTTCAAGCCCTTAGTCCTCATATAGTGTTACCAATATTTGAAAAATGAGAACTTGTTTTAAAAGTCTTTAAAAATAAATTGTTCCTAGGATTCAGTGGTGCATTTTATAAGTTTAATGAATTTCAGTTTAAAAATCCCTTCTCAGACGTACAAATTTTTCTCTAACTCAGAAAAATTGATTGCAGTATCCTTGATAGAAATCTTTGTGCTTGTTCTTATTACTCTTAAAGTTAGTACTGGTTTTAACTAATTAATGCAAATATTTGTATTATGGGTGGCAAGTAAAGAAACTAGGAAACCAATAGAATTGAATATTCAAAAACTAAGAGCTAGTTTAAAAATTATCCAGGAATTTTCATGCAAATCCTTGTGTAGTATCATTGTACAATTTCAAATGCTTAACGTGTTTAGTGCTACTCCCAATTTAAAACTGCCTAACGTTTATAAAATGACAATATAAAGTAATTATTGTATTTGTGTATTCCTTATGTTAAGAGAGTAAATAAAAGTGTCTTTTTAAAGGGACTTTCTTTTTAAAAAGAGATAAGGTTATAATCTTAAACAGGAGTTCTCAACCAGAAGCGATTTTGTCTCCCAGGGAACATTAGGTAATGTCTGGAGACAGTTTGGACTATCAGACAGCTTAAGGGAGAAGATAGTGCTATTGGCATACAAAAGGTAGAGGGCCCTGCCAAACATCTTACAGTGCTCATAACAAAGAATTATCTCAGACTTATCTAGAAGATTAAGATTACTCTTTTGCTTATAGAAGCTGAACATTGAATCATTTCCAGGAAATCAAGTCCATTTACTTCCTTATCTGTCCTCTTTTTATTCCAGAATTGCTGATTAGTTTTAGACACTGATAATTTTTTTCTTAACTGAATTCAGGTACCCTGGATCCTGTCTTCAACAACTGAAAATCAGTTATAAAATTAACAAATATTTAGTGAGCGTCATGCTAGATGCCTGTCTCCTTTGAAGTATTAATCTTTATACCTCATTTAATCTTTATAACTCATTTTATGATTTTTAGCAGTCATGGAATCAGCTATCAAGTTGTTAGGCTGGTTAACATATATTTACTAGAATACAGTTCTGTCTTTGAAAAGTATTTCCTAATACCTTTTTTCCTCTTCTGAATGTAGGAATGACAACTTGCCATTTCACTTACTGGATTAGTTTATTTAAATTCCTCCTGCTTTTGCTACTCCCCTGGGCCTCCTTCTTTTTTAAAGTAAATAATGTTCTTAATGGGATTTTTTTTCCTCAGTAATTTTTCTTGAAAATTATTTTTTAAGGAACTCTTGGCTTTATTTACATATTTAAGTTTGATTTAATGTGATGAAAAGTGTTGTAAATTGTAATGTGCTAGAATCTTTTGTGGGTTTTTTCATTTTGTAAAATAGTAAAAACTTTTGTAACATTAAAATGATTTAAAATGATATTCTTCCTCTGTGTGGTTTTTGTGTGTTTTAGGTTTGCATATCACCTCAGACAGTGGCAAATTGAAGGCACTGGTATTAGTAGTCATTTGAAAGCACTGAGTGACAAACAGTCCCTGCCGCTAAGGGTTGTATGTCAGCCAGCTGGACTTCCTGACAAGGTAGGTATATAATTTTAGTTTCCAAATTGATAACATTTCCCAGTTCAAATGTATGTTCTTTTTGTATTTTTAAATTGGTTGCATCTCATATTTCAGATGACTATTGAAATGTATCCTAGTGACCAGGTAGCAGATCTTAGGGCTGAAGTAACTCATTGGTATGAAAATTTACAGAAAGAACAAATAAATCAACAAGCTCAGCTTCAGGAGTTTGGTCAAAGCAGCCGAAAGGGAGAGTTTCCTGGTAAGTCCATCAGTTCAAATTTTCATATTTTCTAGGTTCTATTATATGTCAACTTTAAATCTTTACTTCTTTGGAGACTATCAGCCATGTTCATGGCTCGCACCTCCCCCACCTTCCCCTACCCTTGCTATGGTGCTACTGATCTTTAGGCAAGAGTTAATAGTTTCTTCAGGTGTTATTTGCAAACATTTGTCTTCATTTTTTTTTTAGAAAAATTCTGCTTTTGGAAGTTATTTGAGAAACAATGTGGTAATTAATGTTTGTGTACATACACTGCCCACTACTCAGTTTTACCCAATAATTTTTTTTGGCCATTTTGATTTATTTTGTTCTTTTTTTTAAGCACGT